GAGCAGAATAATAAAGTGATTAACGTTTCACCAAACTCCCGTTGAAAAATAGGTCAAATTAACAATTCTTTCATTTCCGTAAAAAGACACAAACTTGTGAAGTTAGAAGTACACGTGGCTCACATGTCGAGGATGTTCTCTGTAATTCGGCCCCGATATAATTCACAAAGACGCGACATATTCCCGTACAAGTTCCACTGAAGTGGCCAAACGCGTTACCTTCGTGGTGACGATACAGATGCAGTCCATCGTGTGGAGCCGGGAGTGAAGCCCGGGGACCTCAGCATCTCCTCCGGCCGTCACTCAGCCAGGGGACACACACCCGAACCCCCGGCGGCGGAGTGCGTGTGGACCGGGGAGCCTCCTCCAGCCTCGCCCGGCCCTGCGGAGCTCAGAGCGGGAGCGGGACTCACCGAAGCCCGCTCCTCTCCTCCACACTGACGCTGCGTTCACAGCTGTGGGAAAACTCAGCACTCTGCCTCTGAACCCACCCAGAGCCGACCTCCAGGCTGCAGCACCCCGCTACACCCCCGTCTGACACGAGGGGGCGCTCACCAAGCTCCAGTGAGTTGGAAACTCACCCATGATCTTTAATGAAACACATCACTGCTGGTTTACATGTACTGACCATGGCTCATAGCGCCACCTAGTGTTTCAAACTGTGTGGGACCACATAGAGTCTCTACGTCATTTTTAGATATAAGAAAAAGTTAACACTCTCTAATCCAAGGTGGGCGCCCCCCCCCCCCCCCAGCGTCTGCTCGTCAGTGTGAACCTGTGCTCATGGTTAGATCTATCCTGGTGTCCATTCAGAGACGTCCTCTGCCGTCCCTACATGTCCTCAGGGAACTCAGGAGGTGAGAGACTCCACCTCCGCTAACGTCCTCGCCAGATAATTGGTATGTTCCTGACTCCGCCCCCTGATCCAAACCCCAACTCTTCTCTGACCCATCACATCGTCCGAGTTCACTGGGATCAGAGGTCTGTGTGATGTCAGCAAACAAAGGACAGCGAGTCGTCCTCCGTCACGTGTCCTCTAAAAACACACTGAGCGCTTGTTACATGTACGACTCAGTGACGTGGAGGAGGAGGAGACGAGGGAGCGTGGGAATCAGGAGTATGAAAAGTTTAGTTCCATGAATCAGTCATATTGTGCACCCCCCCATCCATGTGTCACCGTCATATGGAGTGTGTCACGCCCCCTTTAATGTGCCGCAGGAAGTGACGTCACCAATGACAGGTTCTGATAAATGTGATTCAAATGTGTCAGCGTCACTGACTTCTTCATTTCAGTACAAACTTTTTTTGACAACTGCTCGTTCCTCCGAACTCAAACATCTCGACTCAAACGACCTTTGTGATTCGAACTAAGATGATCGGGGTCGTTGTTTGTCCTGTTTGAACTTGATCTTCTGAATCTTCTGTCGTCACATCGTAATCATCGTCTGAGCTCATCAGCAGAGTTCATACAACAGACTGTAAATAAAGATGGACAATATGACGGCTCTCGAAAGTGAGGCCAAAGCACTGTGATCGCCCCCTGGTGGCTGGCTGCAGTGTAGGTCATACACCTCCATGTCAGCAGATGGGACATGGAGCAAACTAAAGACGTTGATTAAATGTTTAAAGGTGTTTCTGTCACTTCAGCTCGTTCTTCTCTCTCTGATGTTTGTTCAAGTGTTTCTCATCAGTTTGGGTTGAATCAGTTATTTATGATGTAAAAACAGGCGGAGACAGGATGATTGACAGCTGAGGCTGACTCAGGATTGGTTGAGAGTGTGTATGGGCGTGATTTTAAAACCTCTGTTCCTCTCCATGATCACTACAGACTGACTTCTTCAGCTATTTTACTTTAAAGAATCACTGAGAATGAATTATTTTTAAATTGGAATTTGTTTAAATGATTAAGATTGGCAGCCACAGACTCCCACACAAATGATTCAGGCTGCAAACTCAAAAGGTTTTAGTTGGTTCAGTCTGGACTAATGTGAAAAACATGGCGGCCTCCGTAGAGAGGACCCCCTCCATGTAAATATAAAGGATTTAAATATAAAGTATTTAAATATAAATGGTATTTTCTGGGGTAAAGAAAACACAATTCATACAATTTAGATAAAATGAACGAGTGAAAACATCATGAGGATTATTCTACATTAGATTTCTGCCAATAGATCCTTTCACCTGAATCTTACACACTGGAGCTTTAAAATTAAATTATTTTGAGCTGTTGTGTCTGAGTTTCACTGTCATGACATCACATCTGCTGCCGGTGTTTGTGTTCACGATGAGCCACGAAGGTGAATAAATCTGAAACACTCCTTTATTTTATCTTAAGAGCTTAAGACATGAACATGTGGGGATGACTGATGCACACACGAAGAACACACAGGAACCTAAAGAGTCAGAGTACGAGTGTAACCTGCACATGAACTGAAATCCACATCAACCACCACCACGAAGGTCCTGAACGTCAGTACAGCTCCAGTCCCCCTGAATCAGACTGAAAATATTCCAACGGTACGACGCGCTGCTCCCAACAGCCGACTGACAACCTTTATTCTGAGGCACCGACTCATGAAGTGGCCACGAGGCCGCTCGTGTTAAAATCACATTACAAACATTTGGTTTGGTTAAAGCTGTGGAAGCTCGTCATCACTGAACTGATTCAACTTTTTTAAACTGTTTTTAGGTGGAAAAGAAAATTAATTGAATTTGTGTTTTGTTTTCCTCAGTATTTAAAAAAAGCTGTCAAC